ACACATGGAGTACATCCCATTTCTCCTCCCAAATAATCATACATATACAATGTATATGAACATAGTCATATTCAATGACAACCAACAAAAGATTAGTTTCAATTCACCTAACCCACATGCAATTTCTACGACAATCAAAGCTATCCTCCGCCTATAGCCCAATACAGATATTTCTAAACAGATATACAATCTCGAGGAAGATAATTTATTCAAAATTTCCTAAGGTATGAAGTATTACATACTCAATTCCACTATCTCTTTCAACACTCACTCAATTCCATGTTTACGACACCAATCTCCATTATTTATACCTAATAAATAGGATAATCATTTTAGGGAAAAAATCCCCCTTTTCAAAATATCAATCCTTGTACCAAAATCAACCATTTTTACACAACACGACTTTATTTTCAAACCCCATGTTCCTTTATTTCATTTCCACCAAAAGCCCCTCTTTTCCATTTACACCTTAACCCTAGGTTTGTCCAAAATGCTCCCAAAACACACCATTGTTACACAACCACAATAACTAAATTAAAAATCATAACAAAGTGTAGAAAATACCTACCTCAAGAAGAGAAAACCAAGTAAAGAAAGGTTGAAACTCCAAAGACGCCGAAATCCAAGTTCGTTTGGATCAAAATAAAGATCTTGAGAAGCTCAACCTTTTTATCAAAGGAAGTGGGGTGGATAGATCACTAGATCTAGGTGGAAAAGTATAGAGAATGTGAGTTTTAGAGAGAGATGCTCTCGACTTTAGGGTTTAGGATGAAAAGATATGAAAAAGTGATGGAAAAAGTTATTTTCGCGATCTGATATATGCGCAGTCTGCTCAATTTAAGAAGTTGACACTTGACCGTCAAACATAAAATGTTGTTCTACTCGAGCGCACAACACACATCTCCAAAACTTTTGCAAACAACAGACAAACCGCTTGAGCTCAAGAAAATTTGCTGGCGCGTAAGAAACGCTGCTCAAGCGTGAAGAACACCCTATTTGTATCTTTGCAGACATGCAAGGTACTGAGAGTTTGCAACTCCCGCTCAAGCACAAGAAAAGCCACTCGAGTGGAGGACCAAAATTTACATAGCCCGCTTGAGCACAAGAATGGTCGCTCGAGCGGAGAAATAAAAATTTGGGCAACAAGGTTTGGAAAGACAAGTAACCAACCTGTTCCAAACACACAACTACAACTCAATAAGCAAAATAGCGAGGTGACATGGGAAATAAGATATGAATAACCATTCAAAACCCCACAAACCCAAGTCCGGAATACAACAAATAACGAGTCAAAACTGGAATCGCTATAAAAAAAAAAAAAAAGAAGTGCACTTTTTTAGTGTATACCAAATGAGCACTTAATCAAGAACTACCTAAAATATTGCTGAAATGAAAGAAAAGAAGCAAAAACATGAGGAACAACAAGAGAGCAACACTAGAGAACAAGCCAATGGAAGGGTGGCTAACCCTTCCACCTCCAACAAGGTTTAAATCACATTTTAAAGCCTAAAATACTCTGAAAATCAATATTAAAGACAAGAAAGAGAGAGAGAGAGAGAGAGAGAGAGAGAGAGAGAGAGAAGGTGGTAAAAAGTTCAAAGTTCACCTCTTGGAAGAGAAAATGATCTTCTTAGTTCACAAACCACAATCTAAACACTTAAGTATCTGAAATTGTGTTTAAAGGTTCAGCAAAAAGCTTCAAGTTTGAGCTTTAGTGGTGTATGTGTATTGTATCTATATTCTAGAGAGAGGAAAGCTTTGAGGGAACTCTAGGCTTGTCAAACAATTCTCTAACCCAAAATTCAGAGGGAATGTGTTGTTTTTGTAGACTTTAAATCACCTTCAATGGAAATTTTTTCAAAAGAGGCAGCTGGTCCAAACCTCGTGCATGGGTGCAACTGGCTGTTGCAAAGTATCTGCTCTCGGTAAACATGGCCGGTCGACTACTCTCAGTAAACATGGCTGGCCGACCAAGAGGATGGCCGGCCAGCCAAATGGATGTGGCCTGCTAGTCATTTGTTGGCCTTGCTACTTTTTGAGTGGTCAAGCTAGAAAAATAGGTTTTGGTCCAAATGAGGTGCAAGCTTTGGGTTTAAAGCTCAAAACTGAACTCTTTTGATGAAGATTTGAACGATTACATAGTATAATATTTCATAATCGAGTGTTCGGAATGAAGCGCCCAAGTCTTAAGGGCGATCAAAAATGGGGTGTCTACAGTTAGGCTTTCTTTTACTCATATGAAACACATTTGTTTGCATTGCACTTTAGTATGTTTCAGATCATTTGCAAACGGCTTGCCTAGCATACTATCATCTTCACATCTTTATCATCCATTGCATTACATTGCGCGAATCATGAATTCTCAAAACAAATGGCTACGTGAAACGTGTAAGTCCAACTTTCAATTGCATTTTGATCATACAATTTGTATCTTGCCTCTGAACTACACTAGTTTGATTCCTTGTAAAGGGATACGTAGGAAATCTTCGAGTTCAACCAATTTCATTTGCATCTTGTTTGTTTGCCCAAGTCTTACAACCTTGTCAAAAGGGTTATCTTCGGGCTTTAACATTCACTCACGTTGTTAAATGATGTATTGAGTTTTGTCAAAGATGAGGCAACTGTAGACACTCCATTTTGACCGGTCTTAAGACTTGGGCGCTTTCTTTCGAATACCCGATGATGAAAATTGGAATATGCTATATTACGAATTTCTCGATAAAAAAGTCAAATTCGAGCTTTAATTCCAACCTGATACCCGTCTTAGCCTAATTATTTTAGACCCGTTCTACAATTTATTTTGTCCACCTAATCTATTTTTTAGATATTTTTCCATCCGAAAATCCATTTTATTGTTGAGGAAATTATTTTTGATTTTCAACCAAAAAAAAAAAAGATGGAGACATTCTTTCGTTGCTGAAGAAATCTTGGACATATTTTGATTTATCTTGGATTTGTTTTCAAAAGAAGAAAATGGGAAACAAAAATATTGGAAGAGTATCTTTGATTTTTCTTTGAAGAAAATGGGAGACAAAAACATTGGAAGAGGATCTTTATTTTTCCTATATATTCTCTTCATTCTAATGAAGAGGAGAAGTGGTTAGTTTTTGAGACAGGGTTAGTTTTTGAGAAAATAGGGAATTTTCTTGAAAAAGAAAGGAGGTAGGTTTTTTTTTTTTTTTAAGAGAAGATAAAAAAAATTTAAAAAAAAAAAACAGAAACAAAAACAAAGCTCCTTTGAAGAAACAAAACAATTTGCACTATAACAAAATTGACTTTTTACGGCACCACATTAACGACATACAATGAATGCAAGCCGTAATTTCTCATTTTTACGATTTTCTTTTTTTGCATGTCGTAAATAATAAACTAACCACGGCGTGTCTATTGCACATGTCATTAATGGTAAAAATGATAATTTTTTTACGGCTTGCAATTTTAGTCGTAAATAATAAAACTTTCTACGACATACATATGGCATGCCGCTAATACATCAGTTATATACAACACACGTAAGCCAATCGTTAAAAATAAGTCATTTTTTACGGCTTTCCATGTGTGTCATGAACGGTATACCCAAAAAATTTCAGGGTGCCAAAACCCAATATTGTGGTGCCACTTATCCAAAAAAATAAAAACATATTTAATTTATTTTTTATTATCACACAAACTGATACAGTTCAAAAAATAAAATAAAAAAATAAAAACTGAGTTTCTAAGAAGAGAGGGAGAAGAAAGACGTAGGTGAGGGGAAAGGGTTCTTCAAATACATGGTCTTCAATCAATTGAATCGGTAGAGATCGAGATGCATGGCAGTCCATTGACACAGTCTGCTTCCTTCCTCAACAAAGCAATCACGCTTTCCATTGAATCAATTTGTAATTTGCTTCGACTGCTTCGATTTGGACTAGGCTTCAATTTTTTATTCCATTCGTTCGATTGAATCAATTTGTAATCTATTCTATTTGCATAGCCCCTTTCAAGATTCTTCAAAGCCACATGCTGGTAAGGCACTCTCTCTTCTCTTCCTTCTTCCTAAAACCCTTGTTTTGTCTCTCTCCCTCTCTCTCGATATATATATATATATATATCCCCCTTCTCCCTTCTCTTCTCTTCTCTCTATACATACATACACCTTCTATATCTATCTATATATTTGGGGTTTTTGTTTCATCTTTGATTCAAGTAACATCATCTCTCTCTATTGCCATCGTTTTTTGGGGTTTTTGTTCTCTGCCTTTCTCATTTTTTTTTTTTTTTTTTTTGGTTTTGATTTTGATTTTTTTGTTTTTTTTAGGATTGTTGTTCATTGATGATGTCTCTCTTCCTGGTAAGCACTCTCCACCTCTCTTTCTTTGTGTATTCTATGTGTTCCTATATATATATATACTAGTGTATGCCCGTGCCTAAAGGCACGATGTAAATAATATTTTGTTTGAATAATTTTCAAATGTCATTCTCTCTTAAGCTAGGAACATTGAGAATCAAGCATACCTAATATGTTTTCCCATGACATACAAAAAATGAATAGATACCATACATTTGAGCAAGGGGATCCCCTTTATTATAAACACAACTTCAAATAAAAGGAACAACAAAATGGTGTTCTCCCTCTGGAGCACACCATGCCAATACGAAAATAGTATTGGTCGAAATCTAAATAACAAACACCTTCAAATGTTTACCTCTCAAACCAAACCAAATCTATATAAGTTTCTACAACGTCAATCTGCCATAATCTTTAACTTTATACAACGTCAATCATTTTCAAAATTTGTCAACGATAAAACCAAAAATACTGTAAATTCTGCCCTCGAGATTGTTGCGCACTCGAGATTGCCTCTCTTTCAACACTCATCAATCAAAGTGCACGTTTAGTTTATACAACAATAAATACAAAATCATTAGAGAGATAAGAAAAACTTAAGCCTGAAGAAATGTAGGCTTGTAAAAAGGGAGTCAGTATTACCATTCGCTTGTAGTCTTCATCCACCTGTAAAATAGAAAAAAAAAAAGCCAATATGATAATTAAAAGAGACTACCCAATTGAAACCAAACACATACATTGTTGCAAAATAATAATTGGTTACCCAATGCAAACACTACGAACAAACACAACACATTATCAACACAAATACAAATTATTGATTAATAAAAATATTAATTTATAAAAATCAATCAATATTTTCTTTGGATTTTATTTTTTTCAACTCTTTCTTTTTGGAACTTCCTTTAATTGATCACATAAGGTTAGAGGGAAAATTTAAGAAAGACGTGTTCTTAAGAAAGAATTTAATAAAATAAAGTTCAAAAAGCAAACTCTTCGCTTGGTAATTCAACAATAAACTCTAACTTAATTCTCCCATCATTTACAAATCAATACAACTTAAAAAACCCCATTTATTTTCTTCCAAAAACCCAAAGCCATTTATTATATCAGTTTAGTCCCATCAATTTTGTGTATGTAACCCTCCATCATCTTCTTCAATCTTCACCTACACCCTTTCAGATTCATTTTGCTTCCAACCTTAAATAAATTTTGAATATTTGTTAAGCAGTACATGATCATAAGCAAAATATCAAACCAACCCCTTTGGATCTATTTGGTTAGCTCATGGGCAGCAGCCAACAAAATTTAGATTGAAATTAAATAAACTATAAGACTAAACTGATATAATAAAATTCAATTGATAAAACAACAAATCAACAGCATACAGTAAGGGGACAATTGTTTATAGGGTCTTAAAAAAGTAATAGGCAATGCTGAAACTATATATATATATATATCACAGCTTACCAATCCCCACTCCCAAATAAAGGGGGAAAAAATAGAAAAACACAAAAAGCCCAATAAATACAGGAAAATCCATATCAGCATTTAAAGAGTATTTAGCAAACTCAAAAGTAATATAGAAAAACCCATTTTATGAATAAAAAAATTAACACCCATTTCTCATTAAAGAATCAAACATTTCATTAACTGTGTATGTGTTAAGTCAATACCTTTGAGACCAAAAATAGCAAGAAGTGTCTGGTTCATCCTCCTCAGTCACAACATTTAAAAAAGGAAAAAGAAAAAAGAAAGTGTCAATAAGATTACTTGCCTACAATTCTTGACTAATGTCCAATTCTTTGCCTTTTCATGAACTCTCTCAATAAGTCATCCTCTCTCTCCAATGCCAAAACAATTCTTCTCTCATTGAACCAGTTTCTGCTCATCATCTCACAAAACAGCCTGGCATGAAGAACTGGAATTAGAGGTCAGTGATATTTAGATGATTGTTTAAACACCTATTGGCATAATGTTGTTTTAAATTGGGGTTTTGTTCCTAATAGAAATTGACTATATGGTTAGGAATTATGTGATATAATATTGAATTTAGTTTATAAACATGTATATCCTAAGCAAAAGGAGCTTATTCTAGCTTGAATGAAACGAAACTTTGATATTCGTTCATATATGTGATCTCAAAAGTACTGTACACATACCTTATTTGTTTGTCAGAAATCAAAATTATATTATGGGAATGGCTGTGAAATGATAAGTTTATTTATTTTTGAGTTGAACAGAAAGGTCTGGAACCATTATTCTGATATTGCTTTCATGGTTGGAGAATAATGTGGCCAAAATTGCCCCCATTGATGTTACAGGGGTCTGGGTTATTATTAGACCAAAATGGGGGCAATCCCATTGGATGTCTTTTTATTCTTTATTTTTTATTGCAACACTCTGGGCTTTTCTGGATTCTGATTTCATTCTTGTTTTGAGAGGGAATTAGAGTTTATTATTCCAGGTATCAATACTTTTCTGGCTCTCAAGGCATTTGTGTCCCTCTCAAATGTAACAAATCCCATGCTACCAAGTATTTGTAAGTGCATTCCTATTATAGAAAGTGGTTGTTATTTGCTGGCAAAAAAAAAAAAACAAACAAACAAACTGACTGAATCTGTACTATTTAGTGTTTAAAAGGAATGCATACCTTTCACTTCCATGTATTATTTTTCATTTATGGAACAGATATTGCAAGGAGAACTGAAAACAATTGGTGTGCACACAATTAATAGTCAACAATAAAGCAAAAAGTTTTGCGAGCAAGTAAAGAACAAATTTTTCCAACTCCTTCAAGATGCTTATGTCTCGTAATTTCCTAAAATTCCAAACCAGTATGAAGGACTCACAGACATTCTGTCAAAACCAATAGTGAACAGGGTGCGAGCCTACATTTTCTAAGGCTTAATTTAGTTGGTAGTTTAGCAGAAAAACTTGGTAAAATTTCTGAGTTATGAAATTAGTTTGTCTTTTTTATAAAAAGGCACAAAAAAAAAATTTATTCCAATTAATTGTGAGCTGAAAGACTCAAGTAATAAACTATTATCAATCCAATGGAAAAAGAGTTTGCCGAGTTTCTACATTAAAAAAACACCATTTATATCAAATTAGATCTAATTTGTCTTAGAACCTTGAAGCCATTGAAACAAAAAAACTAATGCCCATTAACAAAATTCAGAGAAAATGCAAAGAAACTGAAATTGAATCAAATAATTCAAAGAAAATGCAAAGAACTCGTCAAATGTCCACAATCAACACAATTCGAAGTGGTGGGAAAAGGGAATGAATACCTTGGAAGAAGGCGCAAAGATAGACCCAAAAAATTCAGAAGATGATGAAGGTTACCTTGTGAGCAAAGTTCGAGATGCAAACATCAAGGACTGGAGAACTGGAGAGCAGCATCGGACAAAAACAGATCAATTATCAGAACCTTGAAGCCACTGAAACAAAAAGAAAATTCACAAAACCCAATAACAGAAAAACTGAATTGAATCAAATAATTCTAATTTTAATTTTAGAATTCTAATCAAATAATTCTAATTGTAATCAACGAAAATTCTAATTTTAATCAAAACCCAATAACCCAATTCTAATTTTAACAGGAGGATCACCCCAGGTTTGTGGCTGCTATGATAACAACAGGAGGATCACCCGTGTACAACAAAATAAAAAACTAACCAGTGGTAATAAAAAAACAGTCAATGGTGTTCTACAGAACATTGGAAAAACTAACCAGTGTACAACAAAATAAAAAACTAACCAGTGTACACTAAATGGTGTTCTACACTCAATGGTCACCACAACCAGTTCAAAAACTAATGTAGTTCTTGGTGCTTGGATAAAATGTATTAGATTGAGATGAGTTGAGTTTAATTAATAAAATTGTGGGTTTGGGAGAATGGAATTCTAATAATAGCAGTATGGAGCCCAATGTAAATGACCCATAAACAATGTAAAATAACATTGAAGCCTCTGGATTGTAACAATAAAATGGCAGCAAAAGGCACACTGAGAATGAGAATCTAACCCTAACAATTGAAACCCAACTCAATGATAAATAAAAGAGAAAACCCAGATCACCTAATCTATCAAATTCAAATACCAAGATGACAGATCTCATCAAAGATTCAGAAAAAATTAGAACTTAATTATTACACATGTTTTGCCACTTCTATAATTTCATATCTACCAAACAAAAACGGTACAAATACATAGATGAGGATATTATATATGTTAGGAATCATACCTGCTGGAGGAGATTAGAGAGGAGGCCGAAGAGCTGGGCATCTGCTGCTGTTGCTGCTTTTCCTTCAGCGCAGAAGAAAAACAAAAACCCATCTCACAATTAGTTTAAGGTTTAAGGTTTAGAAACATCAATCCAAATAAATTATAGGTGATCCAAAGAAAAACAAAACCCATTGCTAACTGATATATATTTGAGAATCAAACCCATTGCTAACAAAACCCATTTAAGGAAAAGCAAACCCATTGCTCAATAAATTATAGGAGGTCGAAGAAAAACAAATACATATTAAGGTTTAGAAACACCGATCCAAATAAATTGAAAGCTACATAAATAAAAAATGAAAAAGAAACATAACAAAGAGAATATTGTGAAGATCATCAAACCTGCAAGAGCTTCGAAGCAAAATTCAGAAACCCAGAACTAAACCCATTGCTAACTGAAAGAAGTCAGTAATTCCTTCAATTACTCAATTACTCTCCAGAATGTTTAACCAAATATAAAAACCCATCTCACAATTTGAACACACGTACTATACTAACTATTAATAAATAAATAAAAATTAGCTTATACAAAATATGTTATTAATCAATCAATAAAAACAAATAATCAAATTGGACAAGAGAAGATTGGATAGGAGAAGATTAATCCCAAGATTATTTCTCCTTTTGCAATGAGAGGAAAGAAAAATTTATATAATATCATAAAACAGGTAAAACAATTCACACCTTAATTAAAAAAGATAGATAATAAATAAACCTCTATCATTAAAACAGGTAAAACAATCAAAAAATAGCTCATTGAAAAAGAAAACTCTTCTATCATTAAAACAAACATTGCAAAATCAATAAAACATTGTGAAGAGGAAAGGAAAATTTATATAATATCTACTCTATGACATGAAAATATTACTTCAAACCCCAATGACAACATTTTGAGATTAATGTTGGGATGACAGTTGTAATAAAATTGGTGTTGGGATTAATCCCGAGATTAATCCTAATATCTCCAAACATTTTGTCCCAAGATTAATCCCAAGATTAATGTTGGGATGACAGTGTATAGCCGTAATAAAATTGGACAGGAGAAGATTGGACAGAAGAAGATTAATTCCAAGATTATTTCTCCTTTATCTTGTACTTTTGTAATTTTTATTTACACTGTGCCTTTATTTTATAAATGAATTTTCAGTTCTTTATTTTTATTTTATCCCAAGATTAATCCCAATATCTCCAAACATTTTGAGATGACAATTACTATAAAATTGAAGATGCAATATTTTTGTCCAAGCATTATAATGCTATACACAATGGATGTCATCAAAATTTGATCACTTCTTCCATGTGGTTTCGGTAAAGGCAAAAGTAAAAACAACAGATGAAGGCAAGAGCAAAGAAAAGGAAAAAAAATGTGAACACAGTTTACACAGTTTAGACATTCAAAAATCAAAACACATTTAGAAATGAAACCTATTTCACATTTCAGAAATCAAAAAAGTTTAATTTTTCCAACACAAACACAAATACAGTTTCAATTTAGAACTTTGTATATATTATTCTTCATTAAGCTACTAATATGTTACTTGTAGATCAATGAGGGAAAAAAACATCTAAAATGCAGATATCAAAATCTAAAACCAAAGTTGGAATTTGAAAATAACTTCATAATTGAAACAATAAACGATGGGGAAAAAATTAAAAATTAAAAATCATACTAATGGAGAATTCTAAGAAAATAAAAAGACCTTCGCTAATGAGATTAATTAAAGCTTGAACAGTATGATGGTATACTTGATATACTCGATATACTTAGAGGAGTCAACATGAGAAGAAGTAGCAACACAAAAAGAAATTGACAATATCAAAAAACAATAAATTTATGTTTCTATACTGAACACAAAACTAAGTAGGTAAATAGAAATCAAGTCGATTACTCGGTTCCATGTGCAGTATTATTGATATGTCCAGAAGATTGAGGTCTTCAGTTATGCAACCACCCTCCAATCCAAATTACCTGCTTCAAATAATTAAAAAGAGTTTCAAATTTAATGTTATCCCGTTACCTTTCTAATACAGATTTCACTTAGGTATGCTACACCTGGTTGGCGTTAAACAAATGCAAATCAAATGGTGAAATCTTAAAACTAATTCTAGCGTCAAAATGATTTAGATGTCAGCCAAAACTCTGCTGTTTATTTACATGTGCATCATTTCCTGTGGAGTACACATCGATAAATCAAACAAATATTTTACTAAGATAAATTGACAGTAGAGTTGATCAGTCTTGTTAGGCTTACATATCATGAAATGATGAATGTGAAGTATATGCCTAACAAAGAACCAAATTTCAATTTCAGTTACTCAGCTCTTCCTACCCGTGTTTTCAATTGAGGCGTGGAAAATAAATGGTTTTCATTGATATGTTCTACTAACGGGAAAAAAAAATTTCACTGATGGCCATGTAAAACTTACCATAATCTCCTAACGTTCTCCATTCTTAATATGATGCAAATAAGAGCATCTCCAATTGTATGCACAACCTCATACCAAAGCCAAAATTGGAGATTTGAGCATAGAAGAAGAACCGCTCCAATGGTGTGCCTAAATTTGGCATTGTAATATATTTGGGCACCAAGTGTAGCAAAATGCCAAATTTTAGCACATTTGATCAGTTGACATTTTGCCTAAAATTTACAAAGTTGTTATTTTTCCAATTTCAGAATTTACATTTAGACACGGATAAACCCGTTGTACGGTGTAGATTGAATCATACGGTGGTTAAAAATAAAAATAAAAAAGACATTTGTACCATGTGGCAATAACCATTGGAGATGCCACATTTGTGTGTAGATATCATATACTTGTGTGTGTGTCACTTCATCAAGATATCATGATTTGGGAATTAGGTGGAAAAAATTGAAATTCATTCATAAGCTAGAAAATAGGCTAAATTCATGTTCAAAGCCAATAAAAATCTTAACAAGTCACAAAAGAGAAAAAATTTACATTTAGAAATTGACAATATGAGAAGAAGTCAACATGAGAAGAAGCAGCAGCACAAAAAGAAATTGACAATATCAAAAAACAATAAATTTATGTTTCTATACTAAACACAAAACTAATTAGGTAAATAGAAATCAAGTCAATTACTCGGTTCCATGTGCAGTATTGCTGATGTGTCCAGAAGATTGAGGTCTTCAGTTATGCAACCACCCTCCAATCCAAATTACCTGCAAATAATTAAAAAGAGTTTCAAATTTAATGTTATCCCGTTACCTTTCTAATACAAATTTGACTTAGGTATGCTACACCTGGTTGGCGTTGGACAAAAGAAAAATTTATAGTAACAAAAGAAAGGTAACGGGATAACATGAAAAAGAAAAAAAAATCAATTAACAGATTTTCAAAATCAATTAACTGAAAAGATTCAAATCCTAACAATTAACAGAATAAAAATAAAAAGTAGGTATGATTTTTTTATGATATTCAAATATCATAAAAACTATAAAAAGATTTAAAGCCATGGTTGTCTAACTTGACCCTACAAATCCTAACTATTAACACATTCATTCATCAAATGAATTTGTAGGTATGATTTTTTTTTATTTCATCATTAACACATGACACATGACCAAAAAAATAAAAATAAAATAAAAGTATTTTTATTGTGTTCAATCATATACCTACAAATCATACCTATAGCAAGCATGATGGATGGTAATTTCCTACAAATCAAAATAGTTTATGGGAATCAATCATATACCACAGAGGATATCAATCATATACCTACAAATCAACAATTTTATGGGAAGAAGAATACCATGGTTGCAATAAGATGTAATCCTCTTTATCATCAAATGTTGTTTCATATTTGTGTGGGTGTGTTTTGAGTTATTGACTCCTAATATTATTGTTTCATACAAATTTAACTAAACCCATCAAATCCATTTCAAATTATTAGATATCAAAACCCATCAAACCCATTTTAGAAATCATAACCACTCCAACCACAACAACTAAAATAGTTTACAATTAAAACCCACAGAGACTTATAGTTTCACCATCTCTCTGTGTTTACTTTGGGAAGAAAAATTATTAGAAATTAGAAATCAAATTATTAGAAATCCATTTAATTTCTAGAAAGAATTTGATTTCTAATTTCTAATTTAAGTTAAAAAGAATTTGATTTCTAATTTCTTTTCATCTCCTTGAGATATCCATATCTATTATGTCTTTCTAGAAAAACAACTTTAAACCAATTTTATGTACACAAAAGAAATTCATAATACCCAATTCTAGAACAACATATTGATTATGGATTTCATTGGGGTTAATCACTAAAACAACATATTGGGTTTTCTAGATTTCATTAGGGTTAATCACTACAACTTCCACCCCTATTTTCAAAACCCAAATAGAAGGGGGAGAAATAGAAGAAGATATTGAGGCAGATGGAACAATATTCTGGAAATAGAAGAGAGGGGAAACCCTAGATTCTTACACCACCTAAAAAAAACAACAAAAAACAACATGGAGGATAGCTTTCTACCTTGGAGCTGTGTAGGGAGAGAGGAGACGGAGATTGAGGCAGATGGAGCTATATTCCGGATATCACCACTGGGGCTATATTCCGTCGGAGCTAATCACCACCGGAGAGACAAAGCTTGGTGGAAAGAGGAAGATATGTGATGGGAAGAGGAAGAGGTATGAGAGAGTGGAGCTTCAAATTTTGAAATCAAAATAGAGAGAGAGAGAGAGAGAGAGAGAGAGAGAGAGAGAAGATGTCTGTGTAAATATGTGAAAATCTAAAAGCTAAATGGAAAATTGATCTCAACCATTGATATTCACCCAAACAATCTGAACCATTGAAATGTCCAAGTGAGGGAAACATTTTCAACCATGGGATTGAACCAATCTAACGGTTCATACTTTGACAAATAAACAAAAGTCCCATCAAATATTCAAAAAGCCTCTTGCCTTATTATATAGATTTTTAGGGAAACAAAATTGAACTCACATATTCTATTGAAATCACTACATTGCTCATTGATTTTTTTTACCTTTTTTTCTTTCTTTTTTTCATCTAAGAAGAACGGATACTTTTAAAAAGGTAAACGTGTTGTGTCCTTCACCACACTACACTCATCGGACACTTTCCAACACTTCAACACACACGAAATACATTAAAATTTTAAATAAACTAACTTGGAATAAAATTATATTTATTCTTCTCTTTGAGACTTTAAAAGTTACTATATGTGTCTTAAATATCCATATATATGACATATAATAATTATTTATCCTTATAGAAGATATATAATAAATATATAAAATTATATATTTTGCACGTGTCTCCCACGTGTTATGTCTTACATTTTTTGGGAATTTTTCAGTCAACGTGGTAGTTTTGTGTCTGTGTCGTGCCAAGTATATGTGTTTGTGCTTCTTAGCTTTTTATTTTTTATTTCGGTTGACTTGTAAAAAAACTTTGCGAGGATCAATGTGCATAGTAACAGACCATGATTCCTCTTTCCAGTTACATTAATCCGTTCTTCTCCTATGTTTAAGAAGTGAAAGGATCTCCACCACTATTTCATAGACAAAAAGGAGCATAGATGCCATAAATATTCCTTTGGTTAATATCCTATTTTGCAAGAGAGTGATTGACATGATTTGGCTTTATCACAAAATGGAGACACTAACACACCAAATCCTTCAAAAATTGGGCGTAAACAGCCTGAGGATAATTTGATAAATATAGTTATATAGTTTTTATCTTGTCATCAAGCCACATCAACATTGTTCAATATCGCACTGACCCAAAACACAAAAACACTTAATTGAAGAAAGATTATACCCATTGAAGTCCTTGCTGATCTGATGGCATCCAAGTCCGCCGCAACAATCGCCGATGCAAACCCAGTTTGAATTCCAATGAAACCCATAACATTGTGCCTCTTCTGATCTCCATTGGGCACCCCACCATCTTCATTTCCACCTTAGGCTTACCATTTCTACATTTATATCCCCAAACTCTGTCCCGAAACAATGATGAAGCCGAAGACAAAACCAGTGAGTCCGATCACGAAACAGAGAATCATGATTAAAAAAAAAAAACCCCTAGAAAGAAGGTTTTGTGGTTCTGAGATTAGGGTATGGAATGGAAAATTACTTGGGTGATTGCGATGGAAGACGTTCATGGCATATTGAGAGAGAAACAATCAATATTCAATAGATCAGAGAGAGAAGCAATCAATGTTCAAACGATCACACGGTGATTTGAAGTTTCAAGCTGTGCAAATTTTGAAATCAAAATGAGAGAGAGAGAGAGAGACAGACAGACAGACAGAGACAGAGACAGAGAAGACGTCTGTGTAAATAAGTGAAAATCTAACAACTAAATGGAAAACTGATCTCAACCATTGATATTCATCCAAAAAATCTGAACCATTGAAATCTCCAAGTGAGGGAAACATTTTCAACCATGGGATTGAAGCAATCTAACGGTTCATACTTTGGCAAATAAACAAAAGTCCCATCAAATATTCAAAAACCTTCTTCCCTTATTATATAGAAATAGATATATGTTTATATAATCGCCTTCATTTTTCCTACAAGAATGAGGATTTTACACTATGTTTGGTAATTTATGAGAGAAAAGAAAAAACAAGATTACTTAAGTAATAAGAGAAAAGAAAAGAAAAGAAATGATTTTGATTTCTCTCCTTTTTGTTTGGATAAGGAAGAAATAAAAGAAATGAAATTATTGTAATTTTTCTCATTCTTGTTTGGTTAGGTTTCATTAAGAGAAATGAAAAGACATTATTTTATGTTATATTACCAAAATAACCTTTTTATATTTTCAATCATTTTATTTCTTTTATTTTTATAGGGATAAAATTAGTATTATGAAAATAGTGGTTTCTTTTCTCTCTCAATCTCTCTACTTTTGGGAGGATTGAAAATAAGGCTTATAAGATAAATGAGTTTCTCTCCATTTCTCTCTATTTCTTCCAATTTCTTTCTATTTAAATTATCCAAATAAATAAGAGAAATACATATCACTCCATTTCTTTTTTTTTTCTCTCCAAATCACTCAATCCAAACATAGCGTTAGGGTTTGGGACACAAGAAGATGAAAATAAGAAAACTGAAGAGATTTTGTTTCCTTATAAGTGTTTAATATTAGAAATAAGGATATATTCATTTGATTTCCAATAGATGAACAATTTGATTTTATTTTATCTGTATATGATATTGGAACTGCTCATTAGCTTTTTTGATTGGTTCTTGTAATGCTTTTAGAAAATAAATTTGATTTATGATTCCTATTTGTGTTTTTCATAATACAAATTTGGGGACTTTGCCTCTATGGATTACCAAAAAATCTATCTGCTAACATATACAAAACAATGACAAACATGCTTTATATAATAAAATAGAATAGATGGGTCATCATTTTAATTTATGAAAAAAAAAACCCATAGTCAACAGTCACCTTTCCTCCCAAATTAATCAACACTTGATTGATTTCAAGACTACCGAGTCCTTTTCAATTAACTTCAATTCTGTTGTTTCAATCTGAAGTATCATTTTTTTTTTTTAAGAATGATGAATAATGTTCTGGAATTCTAATATAAATCTTTTTAATTTCTAGAGGCATTTCATGTAGTGAAAGTTGATAGTCCTATTTTTCATGGTATTTGTCACAGTTTAAGGATGTGATACAAGTCGCTGCTCTGTTCTCATGATTGTGCAGAGGCTTGACTTTGGTGAATCTTTTAAAATAGTTCGCTGTTCTGAAGTTTTTTTTTTTTTTTTTATTGGAACAAACTCTGTTCTGAAGTTTAGAACAAAAGAGTTTTGAAGTATGTTCCCATTTAAATGGTTCCCTTTCCCTATGGCATGGAATCTATATTATTGCAGATGCTTTGGATATGACAATCAAGAAATTCAGTTATCCAAGTGATAAATCTATTTTGCTTGAGGGCAACATAAGCCAACTTACAAAACTCACTTTTCTGATTAGTGTATGTATTTGAATACTGCCTCTGCAAGAATTTTCTCTATAATCTTTACAGTAGGTGTAACTATTCAAAGAGCGAAGTGGCGAGAAGGAGAATGTGCAAGTGAAGATGCAAAATTATCAAATATTTTTTGTGTGATTGAATATTTTGGTTGTGCCTTTTTTAAAGAGAAGTAGCCCATTAATACAATACCACTCTTCAATGTCTTGTTTTTGGAGTCTTTAGTCTTGCTATAGCTCTTCCAATAAGTGTATCATATACATTTTTGACAAATTTTATTTTGATGGTTGGTTGGCATCTCTCTGCCTAAAAAAACATTCTAGACCTAAAATCAGTGAGAGCACATATGACAATCACTGCTTGATCTTTCTTTTCATAGAAGAGAAGAACAAAGGCATGAAGCAGGATCTTCCCCTTGCTTTTCTATGGGTCTTTGTTTCATCAGCTTTTCTTTTTCTCTTTTATTTTTCTTGCTTGTGGAATCGATTATACAATTATCATGTGGTCTTGTTCATTTTTGGGTAAAAGAATTGGTTCTGCTTTTTATATGGATCTTTTTCCTAGATTTTTTTAATATTCCTTTTTATTTTCCATTTTTTTTTGGGCAGAATTTGTTGTAGCTTAATGTTTATTTTCTCTTTCTGATTTTTAGGAGTCGATCATCATATTAAAACCATGACTAGAATTGCAAATAATCTTTTTTTCTAAAAGGTAGAGCTTTTTCTCTTGTCAATTCTTTCTTTTAATTTTTATTTGCTTTTGATGTTTTGGTTCTTACGCTTTGAATTTACGTATTAGTTTAGAATTTACTTTCAGAACTGACTCTCGGTTTGCTTGCTAGAAGGAATTTGAGGTTGTTGAATCTTGACCATTGTTCAATTTATTATATGAGTGCTTTGATGTTGTGCAGTCCATATTCATTGGTGCTTGAAAATCCTGTTAATAAATCAGATAATTCAATTCTTCCCTTTGCCCTTCTCCCTAACTTCTGTTTTTTTCTCTCCCCGTAAGAATATAGAAAATGGAAGTTTAAATCATGATTAGTTAAAAAAAAAAAGATTCTTCATAAACTTGCTGCAATTTACAAAATTATAAAAAAAAAAATCGTGAAAATGCACTAATGTTTTTGTGTCCTCAATCATCACGAGACTTCTTCCATCACATGAACACTTTAGAAATGCCTTGGATATGAAAAAGGGGGATCTAAAGAAAGTGGCTCGACATTTTAGAATCTCAAAAGAATTCCAACTCTACAGTGGTATAAAGAACAAATTGCTTAGGTAAATATGATAAAAGATGGAAAGATAGTCACTACCTAATAAACAAATTTTGTGGTGGAATAATAAGAGGCAAAACAATTATCTTCTTCTCATAATTTACCAGGATTGTTCACATGACTTTTGACCATTTTCAGTTGATACTCTTGCTTTGAATATGTTTATAAGATGTTAATTCAAAACATTTTTTTACATATAGTGACAATTATTGGGGACAATTTAATGGTGAAGGTTTGCCTTAATTAACTCCTATGGCCCTTTGTGGATGACGGTTTGTTCTTCTAGGTGAAGCTATATGGCATATTTAATTGTCATCAACAAAAAATAGCTTCAGCACAGGACATTCCAGAGTACATATCTCTGTTACATTGTTGTAATGCCACTAAAGAGGGCATTCCACTGTTCAGTATAATTATTGATTTATTTAAGAATGGCACGGGATTATTACCAGCATCTTAGATTCTGAAGCGCCTCAGGACAGAAGTTTTCATAAATGTATTCATATACTCTTAATACAAACTATATGTCATGATGATCGTTATACCTGCAAAAAGGTGGATTGCTGCTCAGTTTTTTTTTTTTTTGTTTTCACCTTTGCATTCCATGAACTAGGTTATAGTACAAATAATACTCCTTAGTCTTGGAATCAATGTTGACGTCATACTCATATGAACTTTTTGTTGTATTAGAACTTTTGTTGCCCCACTTGAGAGACTAAAGTTGGAATATATGGTTCGTAGTGAGTAGAAGAATCTTTTTGAGGTAATTAAGGCAATTGCAGCTTCTCAAGGTCTGAAAGGGTTTTGGAAAGGAAATTTCGTCAATATTCTTTGCACGGCTTCTTTTAAGGCTGCCAACTTTTATGCTTATGATACGTATAGAAATCAATTGCTCAGGATGTCTGGGAATGAGGAAACAACCAATTTTGAAAGGTTCCTTGCTGGTGCTACAGCTGGAATTACTGCTACGATGCTTTGCATACCTATGGACACGGTATGTGGTGATTTGAACTTTGTTATTTTGGTTTATTGTTGCAGTGAGATTCATTTTTCTAGTTGAGCATCTTGGAGCATCTATTTATTTTCCATTTCCATTGCATAGTCCTCATATATTCCCTTGGTATGTAATAGGAAACATGCAAAGTCGGATTGGACAAAAATAGCACATGTCCCTCTGGTTGTCCTGTTTATCAAGTGTGCACAAAGAGGACTACCCACTGTTGCATGAGTCAAACATGGAGAAAGTTTATGATCTAAAACAATTCATTTACCATAAAAAATCTTGTTACAATTAGTATTATTCTTGTCAGAGATTGGTCTTGACCATCTCTTTCCTTTCAGGAGTGGTCTTTTGCTTATGTTTCTGACAATCATTTTGAAAATCCAATTGTATGATTGAGGTTATACCTGGCATGCATACGAGATCAAACATACAAATCTTTTCTATTTGTAGTATTGAAACTGTTATTGTCTTTTTAGCCTGGATTAGGAGGTTTTAGGGACCTGTAAAGAATATACGTAGTTTATCTCTATTTGGGAGCCCATCTTTGGCCTCAGTCACCATCTGATCTTTTCTAAGATGAATTTGCCCCTGATTTGTGTCTTAAACCCTGTGGTTTTGCTTCACTAAAGATTAGCAAATTGGATTTGGCATGGCCTTTTTTATCATAATCATTTTGGCGGCATGATTACATCTGTATTTGTAGGAATTTGGATAGTCTTTGGTTTCTTTTTCTT